TTCCCGTTGAGTGCCCAGGATGACTGTGGTCTGGTTTAACCCTTTGGCTGCCTTCCATTCTCAGATGTTTAATGCTTGATTGCCTGTTACCAGTTCTCATCTGGTGAGTGTGCATCTGAGAGAGGTGGTGGATTCTTTTGTGTGATTATCAGCACATTTACACTCTGCACCTTTATTATTTACCCCAAATTTAAATAACTGCAACCCAAAAGAAAAAAAGAGAAAAAAAAACTTTCACCCTTGAAAGTAATATAATAAATATAATGACTCTTTCTTTATCCCCTAAAATTATACCTTCTAAAGTGAAAATCTACACATATATAAGATGTAAAAATTATAACATAATAATACAAGATAAAATATAAATATAAATAATGTCCCAAAATGTCTCTAAAGATTCAAATCACTTTCTCTTCCACCTCCACATCATCTCTTGTGATACTGTGTACGAAATTCCAGATATACTGATCCAACGTTGAAAAACCTCAAAAAATATAAACTACAAATAGTGTATTACCTTAATTAAATCACAAATGTGCAATATGTGTCATGCACACTCCATAACAAGTGTCAAAACAGTGAGAGAAAAAAAAAAAAAGATTTATATATATATAATTATAACCAAGGAGATAATAAATGAGCGTGAACAAAATTATTCCAAAATCACTCAAAAAATGTGTAAAGTGTATCTTACTAATTGTGACAGTGAACTCAATCACTGCAAACACTACTATTATAAAACAAACAAACGTGAATACAAAATGCTGTGTCATAAAAGTGAACACTCCAACTTAGTGCAGCAAATGAACAGCAAATGCAGCTGTGAGCCAGTATGGACTGTCTGGCGACTGAGACATTTTGTTTGCTGAGAGCTCCTGTGGCCTTTCGGTGTCCTGAAGCAGACAGGAACCTTAAACCAAAGTGGGGACTTGTATACTGGTGGTGAACAAATTGATGTTGTTTCAAGCTCCATTCTTCATGAGAGATTTATTGTTCTTGGAAATCTGCCATATATAGAGGGCATTATCTTTTTTTCTTTTTCTGTTTTATCCCTCCTTTAATGGACACTACCCCCCTAACTAATGATTTGCCTTATGAGGGATATGGATGGATGCCTAAAGGAATTGCAAGAAGTTTGGAGGTGCCAGCATCTATTATTTTGAAAAGCGGATTATTACCTCTATAGGGTAATTGTTCATTTGCTGCACTAAGTTGGAGTGTTCACACACAGCATTTTGTATTCACGTTTGTTTGTTTTATAATAATAGTGTTTGCAGCGATTTAGTTCACTGTCACAATTAGTAAGATACACATTACACATATTTGAGTGATTTTGGAATAATTATGTTCACGCTCATTTATTTTTCTCCTTGGTTATAATTATATATATATATATATATATTATATATATATAAATCTTTTTTTTTTTTTTTTTCTCACTGTTTTTTTTTTTTTTTATTTTTGTGCATGACACATATTGCACATTTGTGATTTAATTAAGGTAATACACTATTTGTAGTTTATATTTTTTGAGGTTTTTTTTTTTTGGATCAGTATATTTGGAATTTTTTTACACAGTATCACAAGATGATGATGTGGAGGTGGAGGAGAAAAGTGATTTGAATCTTTAGAGACATTTTGGGACATTATTTATATTTTATCTTTTATTATTATGTTATAATTTTTACATCTTAAACATGTGTATATTTTCACTTTAGAAGGTATAATTTTAGGGGATAAAGAAAAGAGTCATTATATTTATCATTTACTACTGCACTTTATTTCCCGGATCACCACGGACATTATTGTATTTAGATTCTGCCCATGATACACTTTATTGCTTTTTTTTTTTTTTTTTTTTGTTTTTGAGCTGTTTAGCTGATATTTTCATGCTTTTACTTGATGCACTTTACTGTTTCACTCAGTTCATCACATTCAAGATGCATGTTACTGTATTGTTTTTTTTTTTTTTTTTTTCCGATATATTATATATATATTTATTTTTAGCGCTGTACTTTCTTACATATACTAGGCTTAATCATCCACACTCATAAAAGTGTTCTAGAATGTGAAAAAAGTGCTCCTGAAGATGCCTGGCAAGGTGTGAAATGTGGTGAGGCGGGGTTTTGATGATGCCTATATCACTTTCGGTGATGTAATTTCCTTCCGATGGGATACAGTACAGTATTCTGGGTGCCGTTCTAGGACACAATAATATGCGGGTGCACATCTATATGGCATTAAGTCTTTGTGGCTGCTTCATTTATATAAAAAAAAAAAAAAAAACAAAAAAAAATAAAAAAAAAAAAAAACAAAGAAAAAAAAATTTCAAAAAAAAAAAAATAATGAACACAGGTTACGCTATGGTATTGTGTTTTGTGGTTCTTCTATTCCCACATATGAGCTTACTGAAGTGAAGATTTGGTGTTGGAGAATCCTAGTTCTTGAGAGTTGCATTTTTTTTTTTTTCTCTGATACTACAAGCGTTTATTGACCCATAGTAAAAGTAAGGGTCAGATGATTCTGGTGAGTCTCGATCAAGCATGGGGTGGTGACACAGGCACTTGGAAGTCAAGTTTGCAGTGAATTTCACAGGGTGGACTGTTTTTTTTTTGAGCACATTTTCACATTTTATGATACTGTGTTTCATGGATATTTAAAGAGTGTTTTTTTTTATTGTCTATGATTGTTGGCACTAATTAAGCACAATTACATGTTTATTGCAATAGCGTCGCTCATAGTTTTTTTAGTTTGATCATATATCTGTGTGCATTTAGGGGGAGCACATTTTTTTGAGTGGCAGCTATAGAGGGGGCAAATTATATAATATATTGCACATTCCTATGTGTGGTTATCTTTATTATTTTTTTAATGTTTCATATTTTACCCTAAAAATATAAATCACAAACACTATGACCAATTTAGGTCTCATTTACACAGCTGACTTGGGTATTGGTGTGGCAAGCACAGGGGCAGACTGACAACTCATGGGGCCCCAGGGCAATAGGGGATCATGGGGCCCCTGTGTCCTTGCCCACACCCAAAAAAAGCCTATGAAAAAGCCAATGAAAGGTACCAGGGGCATCTCATGGGGCCCTCTACTGACCCCGGGCCCTCGAGCAGTGCCCAAGTGCTCGAATGGTCAGTCCGCCCCTGGGCAAGCATCAATATGAACCTGCGGCATGAGTTACAGGTGTGTAGTTATAGGTGTGTACAAGCAGCGGCATACAGAAAGTTTGTGCAAATTAATGAAAGGTACCATGGCTGTCCACATCTAACCTAATATCATGCAGTTCTATGTGATTAGGGACAAATTGGAAAGGTTGCCCTGGTTGCCTGTGAGCCTGTCGTTGACCTGTACCAGCTTCCTGGTTTTTTTTTTGACTGCACACACCTGTGATCCCCGCTGCAGGTTATTACTGATACTTGTAGCACCATTGCCCTAATCAACCATGTGATACCCCATGAAGTTGGGAGTTGCTGTGTGAAAAGAATACAGCAGCTCTATTAGCTGCAGCTGTAAAAATATATCTATCTAAATATATATATCTGAAATATATTTTAAAAATATTCTTTCCCAAATATATTGACATATATTTGAAATGCTACAATTTTGGCCATATTCAATATATTTTCAAAATATATTTATTATATATTATATATATATATATATATATATATATATATATATATATATATATATATATATAACTGCATTTTGAAATGCATTTTTTTATATATTATATTATTTTTAAAATATATTCTTCAGATTTTTTCTACCATATAAAAAAGTAATTTTAACATATATTTTTACATATATTTGTAAATGCATTCCAAAAATGTAGATTTGTATTTTAAAGACATACAGTATATTTGAAATGAATTTCAAATATATGTCAATATATTTGGGAAGAATATTTTTAAAATATATTTTAAATATATTTTTCTTCCATGTGGGAAATTAACTCTGTCACTTTTGCTTCTACTCTTTTGAATTAATTAATCTGCAGATCAAAGGAATGAACCTTAATCTGCAGTTGCTGTCAGTTAAAGCAATCTGACAAGCCTATATGCAGCCAAAGTAAAAAAGGAAAAATCATTACAAGGGACCTAAATTAAAGTCAGTAGCATATGTCCCTTATGCTGATGTCTCTTCCTTTAGTTGAAATTCTCCTTCATTCGTGCCCTCCCTCCACCCCCATGCTATAATCTTCCGGTGCAGTGGGGGGTAATAAAACTAAGGTGCTGTCACAGGCTCTCATCAAGAAAGGTGGGGAAATTATATATTTTATATTTCCTTTTTATTGTTGGCTCACAATATCTAATAGTGAGACAGGGATGGTCACTTTAGCTGACTCATACCGAAGGAATGTTACTACATTGCTTGTGCTGGGTTTAATGTTGTGTTTTTGTTTTGTAAGCCATAGTGCATTCAGAGACCATAGAAAATGTATCAGATACTTAGCCGGCTTAGTTGAGATGTAATGGCTTAATGGCGTAGGTGATCAGGTGCGAGCCCATTCCTGTGTTGGATGGAATCCCATTGCTCCCCATTCCTTACCAATCAGTGAAAGAATTATTTTAGTTTGATAAATTGGGCGAGAGACTGATATACAAGGGAATTGGTTGTATTATCAGGGAGCTTCAATCTGTGATAGTAAAAGCGTTGGACTCTAGCTGTAGGCAAGTTTCTGAACAATTAGCTTTTTTAGGTTTGGAAACGATGAGCAGGTGCTCAGATTTTGATTACTGCAGTAACGTAAGATATGTGTGTATGTCCAAATCTGAACGTGTTTTGTTTGTAGCTAGCTAATGTTGAAACATGGTACTTGTATGAAGACACGATGAATGCATGTTGTTTTGTCTATGGTAAATGTGATCTGAATTAACCACTTGCCGACCGCAGATAGCCGAATGACGGCTACACTGCGGCCGGCCAGTTCTGGGAGGGCGTCATATGAGTTGCCAGAGCAGGGATCGGCACCGATCATCAGGGTATTGATGATCAGTGCCCTGATGATCGGTGCCCAGCAGTGCCACCCACCAGTTCCGCCCACCTGTGCCCAGCATGCACCCACCTGTGCCCAGCAGTGCACCCACCTGTGCCACCCAGCAGTGCCACACACCTGTGCTCCGAAGTGCCACCTACCTGTGCCCACCCACATGTGCCCACCAGTGCCACCTACCTGGGCCCACCAGTGCCACCCACCAGTGCAGCCCAGCAGTGCTGCCAGTCAGTGCCCAGTGGTTGTGCCAGTCAGTGCCCAGCAGTTGCGCCAGTCAATGCCCAGCAGTGATGCCAGTCGGTGCCACCTATCAGTGCTGTCTATCAGTGCCGCCTATCCGTGACACCTCATTAGTGCTGCCTATCAGTGCCGCCTATCCGTGCCACCTCATTAGTGCTGCCTATCAGTGCCGCCTATAAGTGCCCATCAGTGCTGCCTATCAGTGCCCATCAGTGCTACCTCATCAACGCACATCAGTGAAGGAGAAAAATTACCGGTTTTAAAAAATTTTATAATAGAAACAAAGAAACTTTTACTTTTTTCAAATTTTTTGCACTTTTTTGGTTTATAGCGCAAAAAAGTAAAGTGCCCAGCGGCAATTAAATACCACCAAAAGAAAGCTCTATTTGTGAGAAAAAATGATAACAATTTCATATAGGTACAATCTTGCATGACTGCGCAATTGTCAATCAAAGTGCATCAGCACTGAAAGCTGAAAATTGGCCTGGTAAAGAAGGGGTATAAGTGCCCGGTAGGCAAGTGGTTAAGACAGAAAGGGAATGTTAAGTACAGCTGATTTGTAAAATATGTTTTTCCTACTTGTGTTTGTGAGTCTAAGTAAGTATCTGCTGCAGTTAGTGGCTGCATTTGTTTGTCTGACCCCCTCTGACCTGTGTGTTTGTAGAAGAGACAGTTTCCAGACTGCTCCTCCGCACCTCTCCTGTGTCTGTGAAATTCAGGATAATGTGCTAATTTTTTACCATCTAAGAAATGTGTATAACGTGATGGTCAAATGTAGGTGATGTGAAATTGTTAGTTTCAGGGGCGTGGAAATTTTATAAATAACTACTTGTCCAAGGACTAAATCAGGGTCCCAATCTACTTGTCCCTCATATTGCAAAATATGATGAGTTGATGTTTTTTATTAGGCAGAGGTGCTTTTAGGAAAGTCTGGAGCTTTTAAAGACGAAAGGGGCTTCATGGCAACTTAAACTGCTAGAAAATTTCTTAGAACCTCCATATATTTTTTTTGTAAAGCAGAGGCCCTAGAGAATAAATTAGTGGATTTTGCAATTTTTTGTATGTAACACAGTTTTTCAAACGCAATAGTTTTTTGGAAAAAAAACCCTTTTTGTAATTTTAAAGCAAGAAACACAATACTAAACCCAATCTTTGCTAAAATATAAAAGATGATGTTACGCTGAGTAAATAGATACTAAACATTTCACACTTTAAAATTGCGCACGCCCGTGCAAACGGCAACAAACAACGCAAATTTTTTACTATCCAAAAACCACACTTTAAAAGCCTTTACAGGTTACCACCTTAGATTTACAGACGCGGTCTGGTGCTAGAATTGCCCATGATCTGGCATTCTCAGTGATGCATCATATGTGTGGGACGATTGCTGTTTGCTTGTGTGTAGGACTGACGCATGCGTTCGCCTTTGCATGCGTGGAGAGGGATGTTTTTTTAAAAAAAAAATTATTAATGATTTATTTTCACACTGTTGCTTTAATTTTTTTCTTTTTTGATCACATTTATTGCTTTCGCAAGGAATGTAAACACCCCTTGTGACAGCAATAGGCAGTGACAGGTGCTCTTTATCTAGAGATCTGGGATCAATAAGACCCCAGATCCCTTCTCTGCCCTTAACAGCATTTGATCACACAAGATCGGTGTGATCAAATACTTTCCATTTTTAAAAATGGTTCTGCTTACATCCGGGGAAACTGGAAGTGATATATGCTCATCGCTTCCTGTTTCCTATATTATAGAGGCGGCTCTGTTCTTTGTCCGCCTTTACGATCAGCCGGCAGAAGCGCCAGATGGTCGATTGGGTGTCCTGGTGCAATGGGACAGCCTGCGGAAGGGATGTCCCCTCTGCCACTTTAAAAGCGATCCAGTGGCTAGTTTGCTGCTCGGATTTCTTTTACAAGAGAGCCGACTGTTGGCTCTAATTCCTGCTGCTTGCCTGTAGCAGGGCTAAATATAAAGAAAAAAAAACCTCTTGCTCAGCGCCTGAAACTGCATGTCCTGGGCATCAGGCTAAAGGAATTGCATATCCCTGAGTTTTTTATGCAACTCTAGAATTATTACAAACAAAAAGAATAGCTCATTCAGGTCAACACCCTTTAAAGTCCTGAAAAGCAGCCATTATTATTATAATTATTTAAATGTTTCGCTCACATTCCAGCCTACTGGGTGTGGAAAAGGAAGAAGGCTCATGAATCAAAAAATATAACGCCCATATGTTTTGTATTTTGTGGTTAAGAGTTTTGTATGTTTTTTGCTAACCATTTGTTTATTTATAGGAATTAAATGTATTGATACCTAAGACCTTTTATTTTGTTTAGTTCCTAGATAATACTAAACGGCATTAATATGCAGTTAGGTCCATATATATTTGGACACAGACACAATTTAGGTATTTACCAAAACATATTCAAGCTATAGTTATATAATGGATATGGGCTGAAAGTACACACTCTCAGGGTTAATTTGAAGGTATGTACATCCAAATTGGAGGAAAGGTTTAGGAATTAACGCTCTTAAGAGTAGCCATCCCCCCTTTTTCAAGGGACCAAAAGTAATTGGACAATTGAATCAAAAAACTGTTTCATGGCCAGGTTTGGGCAACTCCTTTGTTATTTATTCATCAATTAAGCAGGTAAAAGGTCTGGAGTTGATTCTAAGTGTGGTATTTGCATTTGGAATCTATTGCTGTGAACCTACATTATGCATTCAAAGGAGCTGTCCATGCAAGTGAAGCAGGCCATTGTAAGGCTTCAAAAATGAAACAAATCCATCAGAGAGATAGCAGCAACATTAGGAGTGGCCAAATGAAGAGTTTGGTGCATTCTGAGGAAAGAAGAATGCACTGGTGAGCTCAGCAACATAAAAAGGCATGGACGTCCATGGAAGACAACAGTGGTGTATGATCGCAGGATCCTCTCTATGGTAAAGAAAACCCATTCACAACATCTAGACAAGTGAAGGACACTCTCCAGGAGGTGGGCATATCATTGTCAAAGTCTACTCTACAAGCAAGAGAAGACTTCACGAAAGCAAATACAGAGGGTTCACCACAAGGTGCAAACCATTCATAAGCCTGAAGAATAGAAAAGCCAGATTAGACTTTGCCAAAAAACATCTAAAAAGCCAGACCAGTTCTGGAGAAGCATTCTTTGGACAGATTAAACTAAGATTAACCTGTACCAGAATGGCAGGAAGAAAAACAACTCATGATCCAAAGCATACATTGTCATCTGTAAAACATGGTGGAGGCAGTGTGATAGCATGGGCATGCATGGCTTCCAGTGGCACTGGGACATTGGTGTTTATTGATGATGTGACAGAAGACAGAAGCAGCTGGATGAATTCTACAGTATTTAGAGATATACTGTCAGCCCAGATTCAGCCAAATGCAGCAACGTGGATTGGAAGGCACTTCACATTTCAGATGGACAATGATCCAAAACACACTGCAAAAGCAATCCAAGAGCTTTTGAAGGAAAAGAACTGGAATATTCGGCAATGGCCGAGTCAATCACCTTATCTCAACCCAATTGAGCATGCATTTCACTTGCTGAACACAAAATACCCACAAACAAAGAACAACTGAAGACAGCTGCAGTTAGAGCCTGGCAAACCATCAGAAAGGAGGAAACCCAGTCTTGTCCATGGGTTCCAGACTTCAGGCAGCCATTGCCAGTAAAGGATTCTCAACAAAATATAAAACAAATGAACATTTTATTTATGATTATATTCATTAGTCCAATTGCTTCTGAGCCCCTGAAAATGGAGTGACTGTGTATAAAAATGGTTGCAGTACCTAAAATATGTACTTGATACTTATGTTCAACCCCTTGAATTAAAGCTGAAAGTCTGTACTTCAAATTTATTTGGATTGTTTTGTTTTAATTTATTCTGGTTGCATACAGAGCCAAAAGTAAGAAAATTGTGTCTGTGTCCAAATAAATATGTACCTAACTGTATGGTTGACTGAACTGAATTAAAGAAGAAGACTGGACAATTTGTGCTATTTTATTATTGTTTTTATGTTTCTGTGAAATATAGGAATGTGATAAAAGTTGCTGTTGGAACTAGCTGTAATTAATAGCTAATAATTTTGATGCTGCATGGTGGGTACTTAAAAGTTTGTTTTCTCTGATTAAGTTGAATCCAAAACAATAGAGAAAAAATACTAATGTCTGATCACCAATAATACTGTATTACATTTGGGATAGTTTACTTATTTTTTGTTTTTAAGGGTAAAGAATACCCAAGCGTTTACAGAAAAAATGTGGTTTTACAACTTTCCTTACGGTCCCTTCCTAGTGTATTTAAACTAGATTATGGTAGCATGTACTTTGGTATATTCTGCCATAATCATCATAGTGGAGCTGTAAGGCAGAATGTGAAAAAAAAGAATCCACAGGTTGAGCACAGTATAAGGAGAGAAAGGGTGATACAACAGTAAAGGTTTAACTTGGGTTTTACACACAACTGGTATCTGCTTTGAAGTACATTTTACCTAAATGACAGCTTGAATTTAAGCTAATCATATCATTTTGGTTTAATGCAATGGATGCAAATTTTAAAATAAGGTGCTCAAAATATTTGATATATGCATTGCTATATCTGACACTCAGTGCATCTTTGGCCTCCAAATTCAATACAGTTGATCTTTTCCTTAAATTTGTCTGGGAAGTCATTATGAAATAGGTTCCCAGGTTTTTCCTCAATCCTCACTGATTATTTGGGTTTGGGACTGGCATGTAGAGTATGATGACACATTATGTTTGGGTAATTTGTACACACATATTGGGATCAAAGTAGACAAGAACCAGTTAGCCTGCCAGAATGCCATTAGAGTGTGAGGGGAGACAGGAGTACAAAGATGAGACACATACATTTGAAGTTGGGCCTATAGCTTGACAGTTTAGTTTCGATACAGTGTAGTGTAGAATTCAGGTGGTAGATGGATGGTGTTCCTGTAACAATATTTCACCCTAGCAAAAAAAGCTGAGTTGTTCTTTTAGTGTTAGGTCAGGTCAATAGGGATCATTGATTTACAGGTTCAGAAATCTATAAAAGGCTATAGGGGCATAGTTGTAAGTTTTGGAATGTTGGACTGACAGTCTTGGTAACACCTGCTTT